CTTGATAAAACATCGACTATATCCTACAAGAAAATTTTTGTAATAAAAAGAAACTCATTGTGAGAAAATATTTTGTAATTTTAAAACAGTGTGTATGTGTATGTGAGGTGTAAACCTTATAAATAATACCTTATCTATAATCAGCTCAGGAATTATAAATAACAGTTACAAATCTGTCCGATAGATGGCAGCATGTGTATTGAGGGTGCAGTGGACATGTTTTGGTTCGTATTTGAAAAGTAAAATTTACTGAAAAAAAAGGTATTTTAAAAAATTACTGGAGATTTGATAGTTATAAAACTTTCCGGTTATGGAAAGAGGCGCCATATACATTCACATTGTATACATATTATGTATTTTGTTTTGAAAATAGAGCAATCCATACTTAAATCATTAGATAGTAAATAAGGCATATATTGGATTGAATAAAATATTTTTTGCCAATATTTCGTTTGGATGAACGCCAACCTTTATCATTTATCATTACATTTTTGTATACACAAAATCAGCACCGCATAGTGTTATACAGTACTTTGTATTTTAAATGATTTCAACTGTGATATTATAACACTATGCGGCGCTGAGTTTGTGTATACAAAAATGTAATACATTGATAAAGGGTGGCGTTCAGCCAACCGAAATATTGGCAAATAAATATTTTATTCAATCCAATATATGCCCTTTTTATTCATGATAAAATTGTGAAAAAGTATTAAAATTACAAATATATTCTCACAATGAGTATCTTTTTATTTAAAAACGGTGGCTTTCAAGCGTTAATCGCTCTTCAACGGGCTTACAATAATATTACCGACTAGTTAAAATAGTTAAATTACAAACCAATTCAAAATTTCAGTTATGAATATCCACGCGGCGCGCGATTGTTTTTTGTAAATATTTCTGAAGGGATCAAGTCGATAATATTATTGTAAGCCCGTTGAAGAGCGATTAACGCTTGAAAGCTAGCGTTTTTTAAATAAAAAAGATACTCATTGTGAGAATATATTTGTAATTTTAATATGCCCTTTTTATTATATGATATAGTATATATATATATAATATAAAAAAAAAATAAGATTGATTTTCTGCTTGATTTTGATTATCTTGAGAATCATGCTATGGTAATACAGTCGTGGTTAAAATCTTGAAAGTATGAAAATAAAAATGGTTTTGATCAGTAATCTAATTGAACTAAAGAAATATAAAAAAAAAACATAAGTTTGATAAAAGTACTGCCTGGCTTAAGGCGTAAGAATCTAAAAAATGAAAATCTATTTACATAATGTACAAAAGTTTTGAGCCGGCCATCAGGAAACAACAACAATGAGTTTTTATAGGGGAAGCGTGACCTCTGGCGGTCTATTTGAAAGAGTATCTGTATCTATGAAATATAACTCTAAATAAAATAATATTTTAATATAAAATATATATATCGTAATTTAAACAATGTGATATGCAAGTAATAAAGTATGACGTCTTTTCTTGTCGTCTCAAAGTGACACCAACTTGCCACTGGACACCCTGGGGATCCAGAGAGGGACGAAAAAGGGGCGTTTGGTCCGGATGTTGACAGTTAGTTAGGTTACAGTGGATATTTTCGGAGAGGCCCGCTCAGTGCTAGGTCTCATGGCGGCCCTCGTGGCCGCCGTTTTGGTTCCTTCCTGCCTCCGCGGCTTCATGCAGGACGCCGAGATTTCCTCAGTTAATTCTCAACTTTCTCTCGGTCCTAGTGCCACGTGAGACGTACTAGGAGAGCGTCTTTTGATCCCAAACTTTGTCCGTACTGTCCCGCGCGGACTTCCCACTCTGCACGCCTTGCCACTCAACCCCGACTGCTTCCAACTCACTTGTTGTCTTACCCGGGTTTACGACATATATATAATTATCTTTTTTGAAATAGTGAAGACTGTACTTTTGCATGTATTGACAAGATGTCAATAAATTAGGTTAATTGTCAAATGTCAAATATTTGTAAGGGACATGTAAATATTATTGTTTTGTATTTCTATTTTATGTAAATTTTATTTGCTTTTAAAAAATTCGTATTTGTTTGTTGCAAATATGCAAAATTTTTATTATCTAATTTATATATGTATTTTTTCTATTTAATTGAATTCATTCTTATTCTTATTCTTCTCATTCTTTTGGTTGTCTGAATATAATAGCAATAGCGTAAATGTTTTATGTGGAGTGTCATTGCTTAACCACCACATATTTATTTGCTTGGGCTGTACTATTTTTCATATAATATTTGAATATCGTTTGCAAAATCTCTCCACAGACGTAGAGTCGATATGGAATGAAGCTACAGAATAATACAGAACTATATATAAGGCAATAACTTGTCATCTATAGATTATAAATACAACTATATCAAGCACGAATAGCTCGTTTTTGAAATTAAACAAACTTTTCACTGTTCTTGGAAGGTCCATTACCAAAGGGGTTGGTGAAAGGGTGTTCTAAACCGTTGGTTTTTGACCGCTACAACCCGGGATCGATTCCCGCATTGGGCACTTTTTTTAAAATTAAAAAACAAATGCTCCAATGGCCTTCAATTCTTTCAAAAGTCTAACCCACTAACAGGTACAAGTAACTAAACGTAACTCTGGCACATTTGTAAGTGCAAAAGTCTAACTGCTTTTCACATGTGTAGACATGTGGTACACTTACAGTAAAAGCAGTAGCCAAATACTATCTAACATGATTATCATGGACTGTACCATGTATACTAGATATTATTTTTAAAAAAAATAGGTTTACCACTGATTAACCAAGCCCTCACAATATATTTTTAATTACAGTAAGGACAGTAGAAAGTTTGATTTATTTCGCTGATATAGTTCCGTTTAGTTGCTTTAATTCGCTGGTGGGGTTGGACTTTTGCAAGAATTGGAGGCTATTGGACCATTTTTTTAATTAGAAAAAAAAACGTGCCCAATGCGGGATTCAATCCCGGGTCGTAACGGTCAAAAAACGAACGGTTTAGACCAACCTTCTACCGACCTGTTTGGTAGTCAACCTTCCTAAGAACAATGAAATATTTGTTTTATTTCTAAAAACGAGCTAATCACTCTTATTAGTTGTATTTATTATCTATAGATGACAAGTTATTTCCTTATATAGTTCTGTATTATTCTGTAGTTTCATTCATTTATCGACACTGCGTCTAGAGAGATTTTGCATCGATCGACATTAAAATATTTATGAAAAATAGTAAAAAGTAAATATGCAAATTTATTTTAATCAGAATAATATTTTTGATCATATTTATAATCAGTACAAACTTCATCAACCAAGTATCTTCTGCCTACCAAATCGATTCTTCAGGTAAGTAAATTCTAAGATGTTTTAATCATAAATTTTAATTCAATTAATTAATTATATTAATATATATGTTATGAATATGTTTTGTTTGCATGTTGAAAAAGATAGAGAATTGAAGGTGCAGTCATGAAAAAGTAAAGATAATTATTTACCCATCAAGTAGTTTTTTTATTTTGAATTACTTGAAGTAAATTACACATAGAATTATTTTTCACAGTAATTTAGAATTTATAAAATGAATTCTATAATCGTGAATTAAAAAATAGGTAGGTTAACTATACATATTTACAACAATAATTAAAGTGGTATGTTCTAAATCTATGATCAAAAAATGTGTGTGTAGAACAGTCAATGAATGAAAATAAAATATATGTTTAAAAATATATATATATTTGCATTTTAGATTATATAATATACTAGACGAATGACCCGGGCAACGCCCGGGTTTACACGATTAAATGTGTCATTCAAACACATAAAACATAGCAAATATAGCAAGAGCAGTTATTTTAAACGGCGAATTAGATCAGTTATAGCAAAAAATGAAAATATATATGTAAATATGTGAAATAGTTATAAATTAGAAAACTTGTAAATATAGTTAAGGACTTGCATTGTAGCTTCTCCAGGCGACCTGCCGGCAGCGCGCGCCCGTTGCCTGCCGGCGAGCACGTGACTTCCCTGTGCGCGCGCATGGCTTTCGGCGAGGCCTGTTCCACGCGACCGCCCCCCAATGGCGGCGCACAGGGAAGTCACGTGCTCGCCGGTAGCCAACGGGCGCGCGCCGCCGGCAGATCGCCCGCGTTCTAGAGGGCGCTGCTCGTGAGCTAAGTAGAATAATTTGAATATATAGTTTTAATAATTGATTTATATTTTTTTAAATAGCCTATCGTCATCCCCGTTATCTTTTACCTATGTATGGAAATTTTGGTTTGAATTAGTGAACTACTGCGAATTTGTATACGGGTCATACAAACCAACAAACAGACAAACATACAAACATTCATTTTTATATATTAAATATAATATAATATAATATATATATAATTAGCATTATCCATGGTTAAAAAGGTATACACCGATCAAATTAATTGCAAAAGGTTTCTTCAATATAAAATATAAAACGGCTAGCTTTCAAGCGTTAGCTGATCATCAGGCCTTTTTTTTTTAAGCTGAAGGGATTTGCGAAATATGATTCTCTTATATCTCTCTAGATCTTCAAGAGACAACTTCATTTTAATATTTAGATTGCGGAATAATTGCAATGACGATTAAAAAAGGTATACACCGATCAAGCGTTAGCACATCATCAGGCCATGGTGTTTATATTTTAGTTAAAAATTGGACCTCTATTGTGTCAACTAGTGACCACAAAGTCATTAGACTAAAGAAGAGACATCATAAAATAATTGAGAAGTTTTTAAGACAGGTGGATTGTAAATTATATTTTTCTCGGGAATATAATTTTTATTATATTATTCATAAAGATAATTTATAATACAATATAATGCGGCTTATGATTGTAGATTGACGTTTGACAATTTACCGCAAATGTTTCTTTTGAACGAAGAATCGTAATTTATTTTAAGGAGAAATAACGATTATTTCTTATCCTTAGGGATGAAGTATGAAAGAATGAATTGTGAAGAGTAATGATAAACAGAAAAATAAAGTGTCCAGGGATGGGAATCGAACCCACAGTGTTCCGCTTACCGGGCAGATGCCATGTCCATGAAGCCACCCCATAAATTACGATTTTTCGTTCAAAAGAAAAATTTGCGGTAAAATTGTCAAACGTCGATCTACAATCATAAGCCGCATAATATTGTATTATAAATTAACTTTATATAATATTTACGAACGGAATAATATGTCCAGGATAGCCTAGTGGACATGGCATCTGCCCGGTAAGCGGAACACTTGGGTTCGATTCCCATCCCTGTACACTTTATTTTTCTGTTTATCATTACCCTTAATAATTCATCCTTTCACACTTCATCCCTAAGGATAATAAATAGTCGTTATTTCTCCTTAAAATAAATTACGATTTTTCGTTCAAAAGAAACATTTGCGGTATAATTGTCAAACGTCGATCTACAAATAGAATTTATGTTTGAAGTGCATCAAAATGAACAATGTCTTGAAAGCTTGTGTTTTCTCACAAGTCTGACAGATATACAGATGGTCAAATAGAGACATTTATACAAGAAGCCTCCATTTTTTAGATTAATTTCCCCTCATCAAAATCTTCCTTCCAAACCAACCATGTATCAAGTCTTGTAGTAATATCATCTTCTGACATGGAACACACAGTGATTTAAAACAAAATGTAAAATGTTTTCGGATGGAATAATTTTTGTTTAAGCTTTCTAGAATTATAATTTTGAATTTATATTCTAAAAAGGAAATTATATATATATTTTAACCAATCGTTAATATTGTTTTTATATAAAATAAACAGATAATTCTTTGAATAGTTAACTCCATTTTGAAAATAGAGCTATCCATAAATAAATCTTCAAATTAAAAGGCATATATTGGATCAAAATATTATTTTTTTTTACCAATACTTCAGTTGGCAGAGCGCCGACCTTAATCAAGATATTATAGCAACTCATTATGTAGCGTTATGTGACGCTGAGTTTGTTGTTGACACACTTTAAAATGTTATAATACCTTGATAAAGGTTGGCGTTCAGCCAACTGAAATATTGGTAAAATAAATAATATTTTGATCCAATATATGCCTTTTTAATTAAAGTTAACTCCATGTTTATTATTATATTTCCATTTGCTTGTGATAATATTGTGATGAAGAAATATAATTTATATTTATCATTTAATTCAATTATTCAATGAAAATATTTGAAACAGATTTATCTACTTATATATTTGCCTTATTCTGTCTGTCTGTCTGTCTGAAGCTCACGGATAGAATGCCCGCCCATTGGCTGCCAGCAAACACGTGACCTCCCTGCCCGCCCCCCCTCTAGACAACCCTGTTATCAGCTGTGTGATACATACACCTGTCTATAGCGGCCATTCTAGACAACCCTGTTATCAGCAGTGTGTTACATCCACCTGTCTATACAGACCACCCTGTCTATAGCGGTCACCTTAGACAACCCTGTTATCAGCTGTGTGATACATACACCTGTCTATACAGACCACCCTGTCTATAGCGACCACTCTAGACAACCCTGTTATCAGCCGTGTGATACATCCACCTGTCTATACCGACCACCCTGTCTATAGCGACCACCCTAGACAACCCTGTTATCAGCTGTGTGATACATCCACCTGTCTATACAGACCACCCTGTCTATAGCGGTCACCTTAGACAACCCTGTTATCAGCTGTGTGATACATACACCTGTCTATACAGACCACCCTGTCTATAGCGACCACTCTAGACAACCCTGTTATCAGCCGTGTGATACATCCACCTGTCTATACCGACCACCCTGTCTATAGCGACCACCCTAGACAACCCTGTTATCAGCTGTGTGATACATCCACCTGTCTATACAGACCACCCTGTCTATAGCGACCACCCTAGACAACCCTGTTATCAGCTGTGTGATACATCCACCTGTCTAAACAGACCACCCTGTCTATAGCGACCACTCTAGACAATCCTGTTATCAGCTGTGTGATACATCCACCTGTCTATACAGACCACCCTGTCTATAGCGACCACCCTAGACAACCCTGATATCAGCTGTGTGATACATCCACCTGTCTAAACAGACCACCCTGTCTATAGCGACCACTCTAGACAACCCTGTTATCAGCTGTGTGATACATCCACCTGTCTATACAGACCACCCTGTCTATAGCGACCACCCTAGACGACCCTGTTATCATCAGTGTGATACATCCACCTGTCTATACAGACCACCCTGTCTATAGCGACCACTCTAGACAAAATGTAATGCCTCGATAAAGGTTGGCGTTCAGCCAGCCGAAATATTGGCAAAATAAATATTTTATAAAATCCAATATATGCCTTTTATTATCTAATGAATTAAGTATGAATTGCTCTATTTTCAAATATATAATACATCCACCTGTCTATACAGACCACCCTCTCATAGCGGTCACCCTAGGCAACCCTGTTATCAGCTGTGTGATACATCCACCTGTCTATACAGACCACCCGTCATATCGGTCACCCTAGGCAACCCTTTTATCAGCTGTGTGATACATCCACCTGTCTATACAGACCACCCTGTCATAGCGGTCACCCTAGGCAACCCTGTTATCAGCTGAGTGATACATCCACCTGTCTATACAGACCACCCTGTCATAGCGGTCACCCTAGGCAACCCTGTTATCAGCTGTGTGATGCATCCACCTGTCTATACAGACCACCCTGTCATAGCGGTCACCCTAGGCAACCCTGTTATCAGCTGAGTGATAGATCCACCTGTCTATACAGACCACCCTGTCATAGCGGTCACCCTAGGCAACCCTGTTATCAGCTGTGTGATACATCCACCTGTCTATACAGACCATCCTGTCATAGCGGTCACCCTAGGCAACCCTGTTAACAGCTGAGTGATACATCCACCTGTCTATACAGACCACCCTGTCATAGCGGTCACCCTAGGCAACCCTGTTATCAGCTGTGTGATACATCCACCTGTCTATACAGACCACCCGTCATAGCGGTCACCCTAGGCAACCCTGTTATCAGTTGAGTGATACATCCACCTGTCTATACAGACCACCCTGTCATAGCGGTCACCCTAGGCAACCCTGTTATCTGCTGTGTGATACATCCACCTGTCTATACAGACCACCCGTCATAGCGGTCACCCTAGGCAACCCTGTTATCAGTTGAGTGATACATCCACCTGTCTATACAGACCACCCTGTCATAGCGGTCACCCTAGGCAACCCTGTTATCTGCTGTGTGATACATCCACCTGTCTATAGCGACCACTCTAGGCAAAATGTAATGCCTCGATAAAGGTTGGCGTTCAGCCAGCCGAAATATTGGCAAAATAAATATTTTATAAAATCCAATATATGCCTTTTATTATCTAATGAATTAAGTATGGATTTCTCTATTTTCAAAATATATAATACATCCACCTGTCTATACAGACCACCCTGTCATAGCGGTCACCCTAGGCAACCCTGTTATCAGCTGTGTGATACATCCACCTGTCTATACAGACCACCCTGTCATAGCGGTCACCCTAGGCAACCCTGTTATCAGCTGTGTGATACATCCACCTGTCTATACAGACCACCCTGTCATAGCGGTCACCCTAGGCAACCCTGTTATCAGCTGTGTGATACATCCACCTGTCTATACAGACCACCCTGTCATAGCGGTCAGCCTAGGCAACCCTGTTATCAGCTGAGTGATACATCCACCTGTCTATGCAGACCACCCTGTCATAGCGGTCACCCTAGGCAACCCTGTTATCAGCTGTGTGATACATCCACCTGTCTATACAGACCACCCTGTCATAGCGGTCACCCTAGGCAACCCTGTTAACAGCTGAGTGATACATCCACCTTTCTATACAGACCACCCTGTCATAGCGGTCACCCTAGGCAACCCTGTTATCAGCTGTGTGATACATCCACCTGTCTATACAGACCACCCTGTCATAGCGGCCACCCTAGGCAACCCTGTTATCAGCTGAGTGATACATCCACCTGTCTATACAGACCACCCTACCATAGCGGTCACCCTAGGCAACCCTGTTAATCAGCTGAGTGATACATCCACCTGTCTATACAGACCACCCTGTCATAGCGGTCACCCTAGGCAACCCTGTTATCAGCTGAGTGATAGATCCACCTGTCTATACAGACCACCCTGTCATAGCGGTCACCCTAGGCAACCCTGTTATCAGCTGTGTGATACATCCACCTGTCTATACAGACCACCCTGTCATAGCGGTCACCCTAGGCAACCCTGTTATCAGCTGTGTGATACATCCACCTGTCTATACAGACCACCCGTCATAGCGGTCACCCTAGGCAACCCTGTTATCAGTTGAGTGATACATCCACCTGTCTATACAGACCACCCTGCCACAGCGGTCACCCTAGGCAACCCTGTTATCAGCTGAGTGATACATCCTCCTGTCTATACAGACCACCCTGTCATAGCGGTCACCCTAGGCAACCCTGTTATCTGCTGTGTGATACATCCACCTGTCTATAGCGACCACTCTAGGCAAAATGTAATGCCTCGATAAAGGTTGGCGTTCAGCCAGCCGAAATATTGGCAAAATAAATATTTTATAAAATCCAATATATGCCTTTTATTATCTAATGAATTAAGTATGGATTTCTCTATTTTCAAAATATATAATACATCCACCTGTCTATACAGACCACCCTGTCATAGCGGTCATCCTAGGCAACCCTGTTATCAGCTGTGTGATACATCCACCTGTCTATACAGACCACCCTGTCATAGCGGTCACCCTAGGCAACCCTGTTATCAGCTGTGTGATACATCCACCTGTCTATACAGACCACCCTGTCATAGCGGTCACCCTAGGCAACCCTGTTATCAGCTGTGTGATACATCCACCTGTCTATACAGACCACCCTGTCATAGCGGTCAGCCTAGGCAACCCTGTTATCAGCTGAGTGATACATCCACCTGTCTATGCAGACCACCCTGTCATAGCGGTCACCCTAGGCAACCCTGTTATCAGCTGTGTGATACATCCACCTGTCTATACAGACCACCCTGTCATAGCGGTCACCC